CGTGGCAACCGCGCATTATCGATTTTCTCTGGCTGGCTTCGACGCGGCAACCGCGCGTTATCGATTTTCTCGCCGGCTGACTCCGACCTGGCAACCGCGCGTTATCGATTTTCCCCGGCTGGCTCTATTTCCTTCTCTCTCGCTCGAGGAATTCGGGTTTTTTCTACGCGGCCGCACCTCCCCGGTCGCCCTCGTTACAACGTAAATAATCTGTACGGATGGGCTATGTGTGAATCATTGCCGTACGCGCAGTTTCAATGGGTCGATGACGTCAACGCGGAAAGTCTAGACGTAATGGCTGTGACCGCAGATTCCGATATCGGTTACATTCTTGAGGTGGACCTTGCGTATCCGCGCGAACTTCACGACGCCCACGCTGATTTTCCGTTCTACCCGTTGCGCGCCCCACCTCCCGGCAAGGTCACCGAGAAGCTTTTAGCGACGCTTCACGATAAGTCGCGCTACGTCATACACTATCGCAATTTGCAGCAATGTGTACCTCATGGGTTGCGCGTATACTTAAGATTCATCGCGTTTTACGATTAGCGCAATCGCCGTGGCTGCGCGGATACATCGAATTGAATACGATGTTTAGAGTCCGTGCGAACAACAAATTCGAGAGAACTATGTACAAGCTTATGAACAACGCGGTGTACGGGAAGACCGTGGAAAACGTGCGCGAGCACGTTGACGTGCGTCTTGTGACGCGTTGGGATGGAAGGTATGGAGCGGAAGCGCTAATTGCTAGGCCGAATTTTCACAGTAGAAGCGTTTTCTCCGAAGATCTGATGGCCGTCGAGTTACGGAAACTCGAGGTGATGCTCAACAAACCGATATACGTTGGTATGTCCATCCTGGAGATAGCGAAAACGCGATTGTACGAGTTTCACTACGAATACATGGTACCGTTATATCGCGGTCTTTGTAACATAATGTACACGGACACGGACAGTCTGATCTATTTTGTCGCATGCGACGACATTTACGAGGATATGAAACGCTCCATCGAAAGATTCGACACGAGCAACTACGCCGAGAACAACGCGTACGGTATGCCGCGCGCGAACAGGAGCGTTCCGGGTCTGATGAAGGATGAGAATCGTGGCGCGATTATGGTAGAATTCGTAGGGTTGAGAGCGAAGATGTATGCCGCGAGGGTGCTCGGACAGAGCGACACGAAAAAGGTGAAGGGTGTAAAGAGAAACGTAGTCAAGAGAACGATAACGTTCGACGATTTCACGCGAACGTTGCGCGATATGACGGAGCAATCGAGATCGCAATACTGTGTGCGTTCGCGACTGCACGAGGTGTATACCGTGTCCGAAACGAAACTGGCTCTCAGTCCTCACGACGACAAGCGATACGTCGTGCCCGAATCGTGTAACACGTTGCCGTGGGGACATTACAGAGTGCCGCAACAAGAATAATACTACATGTAAACACCTTTATTGTATAATGATAATAAAGTATTACAATATTTCTGTGTTGTGTATCCACGAATTGTGCGAATTATCCATTCCTAGCCACTTTACGTACGCCTCGTTGCCTTTTCTACGTAGAACCTTCTCCACCAGATAAACATCGGGATTGGCGACTCGTGATAATTCGTGCTCGTAGAAACCTCCAGATATTGGTTGTCCGCGATAATCTTTCAGTAGATACGTCACAGGATTTGTCAGCTGTACCTTGGCGATGCGAAACACCTCTGTAGTCCAATTGGGTGTGTAGCCTTTTTCGAATATCGTTTTGAATTTGCTCACGCGCACCGAATCGTCGATCTTGAATCGTCCTGGAGTGGCTATCTTCGTTCGACTGTACATCGTTTTCAAGAGTTTCTCGGCAGCCTCAGGCGTCACGTCTACGGGTCGCATACGGATCGTTCGATGTACGCGACGATTGTATCTCGACAACAGATTCGGCAGTTCGTTGATCCACACGTACGATGCGTTGAGTGTGAACATCTTCCACATGTCGTTCTTGAGCGTACGATTGAATCGTTCCACCACCGAGGCCTTCATCACGGAAAACGTAGAGTAATGGTTGACGCGACGTTGTTGCAATACTTCTCGCACGTCGGCGTTGTAGAACTCCTTCCCCTTGTCCGTTTGCAAATTTTTCGGACACCGCTTGCTCTCACGAAAGAGTTTGGAGAGGTACGCGGCCACTTCCTTTCCACCCTTGCTCTTGAGTGGCACAGCCCACGCGTACTTGCTCAACACATCGATGATCGTCAGTATGTACTTGTGACTCTTATTGAATCGCGAGTACGGTCGCATTTCCACTACATCGGCCTGCCACAGATCGTCGTATCCTCGTACTATGACACGTCGGCGTGGAAAGTTCTTCCGCGCCGGAGCGTGCAGTTCCTCCACGAGTATTCGTTTCTCGACGCTCATCGTCCTCTTTTTTTATTCAGGTTTTAAAAGATCGAGAAGTTCTTGTAATCGAGGATGTTCTCCATGCTTATTGTTATTTTGCAATGCTGCTATCAACTCTTTCACAGTGGTCTGCAGAATAAGCAGCTGTCAGCTGTGTAAGCCAATATGCCCAGTGAGAAATGATTCGTCGATCGACGTCGAAATGATGTCGAATCGACGTCAATTCGACGGTGTCGATGTCGATTCGACGTCATTTTGACGTCGATCGACGAATCATTTCTCACTGGGTGAGTTTTCAGATTCGATGCTGTGTTAGTAACATCGACGACAGCCATATTTATGTCGAGCGTTCCTTTGTCAATTCTTTCGCCGAGTGTTTGTTTCAACGTTTGCAACTTTTTTTCTTGCGCGTCCACGAGTATCCTGTTATTCGCCATGTGCACCACGTTTTGCCCTATCAGGTCATACAACTCCTGTAGTCTACGTTCATGCTTATTCATTGTAGACTGGTTGCTCTCAAGCGTTGTTTGTATCTCTCCGATCCTCTTCTCGAACGTCTTCGCGCTCTCTTCCACTCGATGTGAGAGCGCGCGAAGCGTGGTATCCACGTAGTTTTTACTCGTCGCGTCGTTCTCGTGATGAGGTTCGCCTATGCGTCGTAACGCACGCGAGCGTCCGTCGTATTCGCCATCAGTGTTTAGCCTCAATGTATTTTCGAGCACGTACTTCCGCAAGGATACGATCGACGAACGCGCTTCGTTCAGAGCGATTGCGTCGTCTTCGTGTATCTCACGAGACATGCCAAATTTGTTGACAGACATGACGTCCTCGGGTGTGCGAACCGTACTGCTGACACGATAGGTGAAAACGGATTAATTTATAATGAATCCAGCCTCGCGAAGCTCCTCGAGTATCGAAAGAATTTCGTTGTCGTGAGCGGTGTTGCCGGCGAGACGAGAGGAATCGAGCAATCGAAGACGATTTGTCAATTCGTTGGGATCGTCCCAGTGAACGTAATCTACATTGTTATCGGTTACTCTCATGGTTGACGGGACGCGGGTCGCACCCGCGCCTTTTTTCTTATCACCGCGAATGAGCGGACCGATAATCGTACTGTACTTGTAACCCTTGTTACCCATGATCGGCATACTCGCGCTGCGACCGCGTCTGTGAGCGTTTGTCGCCAGCAGTATACTCTTGTACGTTTGCAAATCGTTTGTGGTGTAGGCGAGATCGTCGGGGAGTCGTTTGAAAATCAATTCGTACAGACCGGGAGTACCGACGTACCTCGTTCCATCGATGATCATCGAATCGTCCTTGTCCACGTCGAATCGCTTGTCGCCGAGTTTAGCCCCATCCTCGCTGACGTACACTCCGTAAACGTGATCGTTCACGTGCTTGTTCTCTCCGCCGAGAAGATCGCCTATGTATTTTTGCCTCAACGGTCCCAATTTACTGTGCAACGCCTCGTGACCTTGCTCCGTTTGCAGAGTCTCTCTCGCGGACGTTTCGAGCGAGATCGGCGCCTCATCCGTCTCGTACACCTCTTCTTCCCGTTCCACGTACGGGACTGACGTCGATGTTGTTTCTAGCGGCGCGATAGTTGTTCGCGACTCTATCGGTGTAGATCCAAGCATTTTGCGCGATTCTCTTGGCGTGGAACCGATTGCGGTCTCGATCGGTCGCTGTTTCTTTTTCCCCTTCAATGATGCGTCTTGAGTTGTCGCTTTGAAAACGTCGTCGTCGTCGTCGTCGTCATAATCGTAGTCGTGAGCGCTCTCCTTGCGCGCTGTCTTCGCGAGAACGGCTCCATCGGATCAGACCTCCCAGATGAAAGCCGCTACAGCCACCGCGGACGATGGTGGGGATGTGGTGGGGGTATGCGCTCAGGCGGCCGAGCGCCTCGGCTGTCTTCGGAGAGCAGAGTGCGACAGAGCTATGTTCTGTCTCACTCTCTCGCACGCTGTGCGTTTCTAGACTTGTACCTGGTTCACACTCTCGCTTTAAGTAAGCTGTAAGCCAATCACAGGCATTGATTCTCCTCACTGTCACTGTGATTGGTTGATTTGTTATGGCTTAAGGTTCACAGCTTACTTAAAGCAAAATTGTGGACCATGCAGGGGTATCCGAGCGTCTCGGGCAATTTCTTTTGCGATGTTATGATATTTGTCATATATAATAAACGTTAAATTTTATACGTAATATTTATTACAAACATTTACAGTACTAACCTAAAAATTAATACGATACGAATGTCTCAATACAATTTTTATTCTGAAAACTAAGAACTAGCGATCATAAATATGAAATAATACAATGTTTAAAACCTAAAATTAATATACTATATATTAAACATTCCATTATTTCATATTTGCAATCGACAGTTTTTATATTTTGCAGATAAAAAAATTGTATTCAGACATTTGTATATTAATTTTTTAATTTTCCTAATATATGATTGCAAACCATATTACGTATAAAATTTCAACGTATATACAGGGTGATTCAGACCACCCGTACAGCCCCTTTATTTCGGAAATAGAACATTTTAGAGAAAAATGTTTCAGGCAAAAGTTATACGGTTTTAAAAGGGCTATATAATGAAAAAATAAATTTTCGAAAAAATAAATTTTTTATGGTTATATGGAGGTCGATGTCATTTTTTAAAATGGAACTCCCTATGTTTATTATACTATCTTATTCTACTAAATAATATGAACAACTTTTGTCTGAAACATTTTTTTATTTGCCTACTACTTTTTGAGATATTCAAGAGAAAAATTATAACTTTTTACATGTTTAGCTTATAATATTTCGATAAAAGTTTGTCGGAGGGAAAAGTAGTACAGGACTTTTTTACTTGATTTAATCTCAGGAATATGCTGTTGCAATGGTTTATGTATTGTAACACAAAATTTACATACACAAAAATGTTCAATAATTGAAACACCATTGCAACAGCATATTCCTGAGACTAAATCAAGTAAAAAAGTCCTGTACTTCTTTTCCCTCCGACAAACAGTTATTGAGATATTATAAGCTAAACATGTAAAAAGTTATAAATTTTGTCTTGAATGTCTCAAAAAGTATTAGGCAAATC